CATCTTTTATATTTCATTAAAAAAATGGGTATTTTGTTGTGTTTTGGGGCATTTAATTAAATTTTTCACTAAATATTGGGGTTTAATAAGGAGTTGCGCTAATATTGCGCAACATAAAAATTTGCAACTACCACCATTTTATTCTATAGGGTCTTGGCATTCAGAAAATATATAATGTTGGGGGGTTTTAAGTAATTTTCAGGCCTAAAATGTGGAATATAACATGGGTACAAAAAATGAAAAAAAGGCCTCAGTCATGAAGGGGTTAATATACAGCAGAGCTTTGACCGTTGGCTCGAGGTAAAAGAACGAAGAACCAGTTCTATACGTTTACCTTTTAAGATGTGGATATAGTATTGGATTAGGTATTTTATCTCTAAAAATCTTCACTATTATCACTGCATACTGGAAACCATGATTTCTTTTTATCAAAAATGATCACTTGTATTTTTGTTCATAGTGAACCTAACAAAGATGATGTTCTGGCTGAAGCAAAAAAGAAACTAGATGGTGTACGAGAAAAAATGAAACAGGTGGCCCAGGAGCTCGTGGATGAAGATGTATATCAGTACCACAGAGCTATTACATCAGGTAACTGTCATTGTATGGAAACGAACGCATGTAATTCTTGTACAGCAGCCTAGAATGCACCTGTTATTGAGAATAAATTGCTGTCTGTGAACCCGTTTAGTTCCCAAACCCAGCACACATCCTGCTATTCTTAACAAAGCTCCAGCTTGAACTGTCATTCTTGACTTATGACCCAACACCTATCTAAAATTGTATGCCCCCTTAGCTAGTAAGGATTACAACAAAGAGAAGTGGTGGTGGGTAAGCGGCGTACCTGCTCAAGCTCTGCTAATCACTGGATCCCTTAGGAAATGCTGGCGGTCTGCAAGGCTACCATCCGCCCCTGTCCAACAGACATAAGTTTGTTATTGGTCTTGGACACAACGACAGGTACCAAAACTTTATTGCAGTAATTTAGATACAGCTCATTTGAACAGATTGCCTATGCGTTTCAAACACAAAGGGCCCTATTTATAGCAATGATTAAGGCCCTTAGGGGCTGAAATGTGAAACCAGTCTGTTCAAGTAACCTGTATTTGAAATACTACAATAACATTTTGCAACCTGGGACTGTTTGCCCGACCATTAGTGAAGATAAGTGGTGCATTGAGGTTATTAATGCTCAATTAAATACTCAATGGATCAGCTGCCTGTTCTCTGAAGTGTGTGTGGGCAAAATCTAAAAATAAATCATTTCAACAGGGCTCTTTCATACATTACCATTCTTCATGTTAAGACTCTTTAAAAACACTGCAAGTACTAATAGATACCTGATGGCCCTGCCAGAAAAGAAGGTACCTCCACTGGTAGTGGATTGCCACTGCTGCACTGGAATAGCAGGAAAGGGGGAGTGAGTAAACAATGAAAGGTTATGGAGATGAGGATGTGCTGATATATTCCAGCAAAGAGGAACTTGGGCAAGGCTGAGGGTGCTGATTGGGATTTCAGTGCAGCAAAAATGAACTGGATTTCTGGCAGGATCATAAAGTATTTATCAGTATTTTCAGTGTTGATAAAGAGACATAACATAGGAAATATGTAATGAATGATTTTATTTTAGATTTTTCCGGTAGGTACACTTTGTTTTACCCTTATGTTGCTTTGACCTCTGTAGCCAGGTCCATAGTCCCAGTTGGTCCAAGTCCAAATGAACCTGGCTACTACCTAGGTGGTTAGGTACCAGTCACATCAGCCTCTATGCAGGATCATAGCTTGCAAGGTCATTTCACAGATGTGATCACAATCCGAAATAGAAGTTGCAATTCTAAGAAATAAGTTGCATTGCTGAGCACAAGTAAAGTAAAACTTGGGTGGTTTTTGAGCCGGTGCCTTCAGTTGCCCAAAAGACATTTATCAGCTGTTGTGGGAAGGCAACCAGTCCTATTTCAAAAGTATGCAGTTGGCTGTCTACTTGTTTTCTCACACTTATTTGGCTTAAGGTGGAGCACTAAAACATACCCCTTAGGCCTAGAATATGCTCACACTCAGAGCGACTCTTCTATGGCCTTGGTGTCCATACTTTGACCTGATGGCAACCCAGTCCTATTTTCAAAGTATCGTTTTTTTTGTTCCTACCCTTTTTCTTTAAAATGTAACTAGACACATTTGATATTATTGTGCTGCTTTGTTTCAACATCTTAAAGGAGAACTATGAGGTGAGTGCTTTTCACTCACCTCATAGTTCTAGCCGACCTGTGACAATGAGACTGTCACAGGTCGGCTCAGTAGATCGGGAGGTGAGCGAACACATACCGGGTTCGCTCACCTCTTGATCCTGTCACGGCTTTCTGCCGTGACAAGGGGAGGGGCTGGATTCCCCTCTCCCCGCTCCGATCTGCCAGCGCTGACTGGCGGAACGGACAGGGGAGGGGGCGGGTACAGCTGGCTCTGCCTCTAGATAGGCAGAGCCAGCTGTCACTCACGCAGCTGGGCGGATCCCGTCGTCTAAGTCGGGATCCGCTCCGGCTGCGGCGTCTCAGTAGTAGTAGCTGTAGCTCGCGGTATACTGAGCTTAGGGTAACGGGAGGACGCTAGTTTGTGTCCTCCCGTTACCCTAAGGAGAACTATGGGGAAAAACACTGACCCCATAGTTCTCCTTTTAAATATGACTGTATCAGCGCAAACTTTATTTTTGTAGAAACATTTTTTTTAAATCAATAAAAATAATTTTGTGGAAAAATTTTGATGGTTAATGGCCATCAAAATACAGACTTTTCAGGTTCCAGCAGTAATGCATTGCAATGACCAATGATGAAGTGCAAAATACAAGTATCCAAATCAACAAATTAGCTTTCACCTTTCTTTAGCTAAAAAAGCTAAAGTGAAATTCATTTTTTGTTTGTCAATGGTTATATAATATATATTGATATTTTAAAATAACTATTATTCAATAAATCCCGATGGCTGCTCTGCATCTGAGAGAGAGAGTGGGTACAGCAGTATCTTGCTAAATACTGATCATTCTGAATGACAGTCTTTTAAAAAGGCCCCGTCACCAATGTAAGAAAATGCAAATAAAGGCACAGAAGAATTGTGTATTTTAAATATTTGTTTGACCACTTCAGGAAAATTAAATTCCCTAGCACATCCCCTCCCTCTTTGCACATCATTGCCCCTTCCACTTTAGGGAGTGTCTAACTTCTGTCTGTGCTAGCCCAGCTCCTCCACCCCCTCACCTCCCTACATGACATTTTATGTAGCTGCCAGGAAGGAGCGAAAGGGAATACTATAGAGCCTTGGTTCTCAACTGGTGGGTCGTGACCCAAAAGTGGGTCGCGACCTCATGTCCAGTGGGTCGCTGCATGCTTTCCACTTTTCTAGGTGAGAGGCTCCTCAGCCTCCCCCTAGCGCAGCACTGTCCGTTCTAACTCCAAGCAGCCATTCAAAATATGCTGCATGGTGCCGAGTGTCATCTTGAGGTGGGGTGGGCTGGGGGTATGGCAGCGTGGGAGCTTGATCCGAACATGCATTGCTTACACCTTCCTCACGTGTCCTGTAGAGGTGCCTGGACCAGCGTGATGTCACATTCTGGCTCCCGCCACCTCTACAGGGCACGCAAGGGAGTTGTACAAGCGATGCACATATGGATGGAGCTCCATCAAAGCACAGCAGCCTACACTGTACCCCAGGCTGAGCATCCATTCCAGTTCTCAAGGTAGGGACACTGGGTGGATTTTTAAAAAAATTAGGGGGGGGAGTGTGTATGTGTGTGAGGATGTGTCTGTGGTTGTGTGTGTCGGTCAGTGTTTTTTGAGGGCCCGTTCACACTAGTACAGTGCGTTAATCGCACAGTCCAGTGTAATTAACGCACTGTACCACGCAACTGCATGTACCGATTCTGGAGGGAGAGATGCATTGAATGGCACCCCAAACTCACCTCCCACCCACAGTTCTATTGCCCGCATCGGAACGGGCGGTACCGCAAGGCCATGCGTTCCATTGCAGTGGAATTTGGGCCACGACTTAAGGACCAAGGACAAATGTGGGTCCTGAGGTTACACAGGTTGAGAACCACTGCATTAGAGTGTCTCTTGAATGACAGCCTTGAGTCTTCTGGGGCTGCTGACATCATATTCAAGATAGTGGCGCCCAACAGGAGTTTCAGGGTTTTTAGAAGTCTACACAAGGGCTTTTACAGGTAAATAACATGCCTTAAAAATGTTAAATGGGCATATAATATAATGGCATTTTTTTTTGCTGAAATAAATGGTTAGGCAACAGGTATTGGTATCAAGATGAAGTCAAATTTACATCATCATTATTGATTTTTTTCTTTATTATTATAAATAATGCTGACCTATTATTAAAATGTATTTTATATAGTGCACACATTCATGATATAAATGCTTTCATACAGCTAAAGTGCTTAATCTTTCCTATTTAGGTCTTCAAGAATATGTTGAAGCAGTCACCTTTCAGCATTTTATTACACACAGAGCCCTTTTAAGCCTTGATGATATCAACAGACAGCTAATATTTGAAAATAATGTAAGTATAGTGTGGTATTGTGTGGCAATCCCACGGTAGAACTGGGGGTTGTAGTCACCCAGGACTCTCAGCCAGAGGAGCTTGCTTCCAAGACACAAATTCTTTTGTTGGGAAAGAACTGGCTTTGCAGTTCTCTCTGGGTTTTCTGGATTTGGCATGGGATCCTGGAACTGTGAGATTTCGAAGAGAATTGGGAGGGATGAAATCTCCATTCCTGGGTCTGTGGTTTAGTGGGGGCCAGGACCTGATGACTGTAAACCCGTGCACTGCCCTTATGGGAAGGGTGCTGGCTGATGCTCTGGGCTCTCCTGCCGGGAAGAGGAACAGAGCTGTTCAGGAGTCAGGAGGACTCCACCCAGAAGCCAGAGTGGAACCAGGAGGCTGTGTGTGTGTGCTGGAGGCACCTGGGAATAGGCCAAGGAGGCTTAGTGAGCCTGTGACACAGAAGGGATGTGCGGAAGAGTCACATGGAGGATATGTCACAATCTTGAGTTGGTGAAACCTTGTTATATTGTCTACTTTCTGAAACATAAGCAGACTGTATGTTGCGTTGCTGAATAAAGCTCTTTTCTGTTAGGAGGAAAATAAAAGGCTGTCCCTTTTTTTTATGTTACAACGGCTTCAAGACTGGTCCTTAAGCACTCACCATTTGTGCTAAATTCCCCAAATATCACAATAGTAACATAGTAGACATAGGTCCATCAAGTTCAACCTTTTTGTGCGAGTATTCGTTTTATGTGTTCCCAAGGAATGCGCAAAAACCCTACAAGCCTAGGCCAATTTGCTGTAAATAAAATTGACTACTGACTCCATACTAGTGACCAGCTAAATGCATAGATCAATCTATAAAATTTAGGAATTCCCATAGTCCTTTATATTATGCTGACTGAACGATTGGGGTGTGAGAGCAAAATGAGAGCTAGCTGCTAACTGCAGCCATTGTTTACATTGTGTGATGGTGTGATTGATCACAGCGATCATGTGGTACAGAACCAATCTCACTGGCTCTCTACATTCCTTGTGTGATCTGCACTGTCCAGTGGACCGTTTCATCACAGTATTGTGCTCATGCTCGCTAGGGCACATAGAGAAGTTGGCACTTTGAAACATTGTCCTGCTCTGGGAAGCCTACCGTCTCTACGCTCCATGACAATGGGTGGACAGCAAGTGGTTAAAGCGTAACTGCAGGCAAAATGTTTTTAAAAGTTTGGACAAAGTGGGAAAGAATTAAAATTTGTGAGGTCTATAATACTATTAATCCTGTGCTGTTGTACAGTTAATTAATTTCTATAGAGTGTTTTCAGAATGCATCTTTTTACGTTGTTTTTAACGCTTTTAAACAAAGAGAGCGAGCAATACAGTTCTTTGCTTGCTATTTCCTAGTGCAGTACTGCTAGAATGTGCATGCAGAAAATCTTGAATATTGAGCTTTTCTGTTTAAATATTTAACAAATGATCTCATTCTTTATAGATCAATATTGCTTCGAACAATGAAGACCAAACCAAACAGAACATATTAAGCCTTCAGATAAGTCATGTGGATTATTTGCTTGGAGTAGCCGACCTTACTGGAGAGCTGATGCGTTTGTGCATAGGTAGCGTTGGAAACGGAGATATCGATACCCCCTTTGAACTGACTCAGTTCTTGCGTGAAATTTTCGATGGATTTGCTTACATTGGTAACACTGGTCCTTATGAGATTTCAAGAAAGCTGTATACTTTAAAACAGAGCTTGGGGAAAGTCGAAAATGCCTGTTACATGTTGAAAGTGAGAGGCTCCGAAATTCCAAAACACATGCTTGCAGATCTGTTTGTATCCAAATCCGAACTGCTTGAACACGATGATGGCATGTCCTAAATGTTGACCTTTTAGTAGGATAAGCTGGAAGTTTACCAGTTTAACTGTTATTTTGTCATTTTTGTTTCCTTTGTTTTATTATTTTACATGTGCATCTGTGCACAAACTTTAACTATAATTTTATTATGCTAATTGTATATCTGATTGTTGTATGTTCCAACTTTGACTGTTAAGCCAAGCATATCTGTTTTATTGTACCAAGTAATACTAGGCACCCACACATACTGATATGTAAAATTGCCTCCTTATACCATAGGACCCCATCAAAACGCATTCGCTTTGTATGCAAACATCTTTAAAGGGAGCCTGCACTGCTTCTGATCCCTTTTCATAAAATGCTTTTTGGCTGGCTGCTTCGGACATCATCTCGTCTAATGCAGGTCTATAGACCTGCATTATACATTAGGACACCGAGGCACATCCTGGAGCTGGAGCAGAGGGGGAGAGGTGAGTGCTGAGCGCCGTGGGACGGAGGATCAGGTGGGTAATACAGCTTTATTTGAGCCCACTAGACAAAACGAGTATTTAACCCTTGCAGTGTGGAAGTAGCCCCACTACAAGGGTAATTTTTTTTCCCTGCCTACCAGGAGTTCTTTTAAGGACCCACAGATCAGAGGAGGAGGAAAGAAGAGAACATTTTCTAAAGGTATAGAGAGCTCCGCTTTTATAGTATTCTCTACCGTCAGTCAGTGACTCGGGACAAGCATGCAGCAAGCTGGGTCAGGGTGAAGTCACAACTCTTGATCTGTATTATAAGCAGTAATTCAGCATTTTCAAGGAGCATTGAAAAATACATACATATTTCTCTTAATACAGTTTCCTTAAGGCAGATTTGAAAGTTTGGCATCCCCCACTTCTCCCCTTGGCCTTTCATAATGCAAAGCATTAGAAAAACCTTCTTTTTTTTTTTTGTATTTTAGCACAGAGTTCTGTCTCTGTTCACTAAGCCCTCTTATTAGGATGCCTCTGAGGTTGTAAGAGTGACTCCGGGCAAGGAGTCATTTTAAAATCCACAAACCACTAATTCTGTCTAGAAGTACAACTAAACCAAGGATAGTTTACCTAAACAGGATTTATGAGGGTCCATCAAAAAGTTGTGCCTCCATGTCTGTAATTTGTTATCAATTAGAGTGACTGTGAATGTTCATGTACAATGTTATAAAGGAGTCCTTAGCCCACTAATGCATTTTTTTTTCCAGATTGAGTGATTAAAACCATGGATCTGTGGCTAAAACAAGGAGCTGTAATTGAGTTTCTTGCGAAAGAGGGTTGTGCACCTAGGGAAATCCATAATCGGCTAAAGAAGGTTTATGGGGACTCTAGTGCAATGTGCAGCATTGGGTGAAAATGTTTCAATAAGGAGAAACTGAAATTCCACTACAGCGTCCCCATAAACCTTCTTTAGCCAATTGTGGATTTCCCTAGGTGCACAACCCTCCTTCGCCAGAAAATCAATTACAGCTCATTGTTTTAGCTGCAGATCCATGGTTCTAATCACTCAATCTGAAAAAGAAAAGCATGCATTAGTGGGGTCAGGGCACCTCTATAACACCATACATGAATATTCACAGTCACTTTAATGGGTCTCAGATTATAGACATGGAGGTATTATTACTTGATTGACCCTCATACATGTATTTTTTGCTTCTCTGCAACTTTTACATGTACTGCTGAGGTTCAGATTGTTCTGTAACGTGTAATTTCCTGTCTGTGTGAGAGACATTTTAGAAAACCTATATCAGGTGGCGTTGGGTATATCTAATTTGTACATTTTAGCATTTGTTCTTTACAGAATACAACATTACTGTCAAAGTCTAAGCCTAATTGAATCTTCACTTTTTATTATTGTGATTCATTCAAGGCCAAGATTTGAGGGGTGGGGGTTTGCCCGGACATGAGGAAGAGGGCCCTATTAGCCATCGAGGTGCTGACATTGCCACTTGGGACTACAGCTCGCAGCAGGCCAACTCTCCGCAGCTCCCTCCCATGGTGGTGGTGAGGGGGGGTCCCTTCATGATTTCTTGCACCGGGGCCCTGAGGTTTCTAGTCACGCTTCTGCCTGGGACCAAATTGTGCTCAGCATTCCCAAGGTTTCATTTCATGCATACTTTATAGAATGTGTTTTTGCTTACATACAGTGTGCCAAAAATGCCATCATTTTTTACTTTGCATATTCATAATTAACCCTTTGTGTTTTCCTTGCCGTTCTCCTATAACAAAAATATAGGTTTGTATAGATTTCCTGAAATGTAAAGCCTGCCACTCATCCCCTTCCAGTTCTGCCGCTTTGGAGAATGTTTGTATCCTTGTATGTCATCGTTTTCTGTGCCTAGTGTACTGGTATAATAAACAGTCAATGTTTATTCATTTGTCTTCTGTGACTTTTGTGAGAGTTGCAGCAAAGTATAGTGGTTTTGTACATGGGGTTTTTTTTTTTTAATGTCAAGATTGGAAAAAAAAAATCTAAATGTTTCATAGTTACATTATGTCGTGCGTTTAGTGAAACAGGAAAAAGAATCAACAATTACATATACGGTGCAGTCTGTCACTAACATTAACGCATCACTTTTGGTTTTCTGAGTGCCCCACAACATGTTATTACCTGCTGATCCTGCTTTTGGATTTGTTATTTTTCCCCTTCCTTTTTATTGACCAAGCTGTACAACAAAAGTGGTAGTTACAGGGGTTCAGACAAACCATATAACACTGCCGGGAATGCTTGCAGTGGTCCATTTCTATTCATGTTTTAACCCCCTTTTTTTTTTTCCCCCCCCAAACAGAAAAAAACAAAAACCTGTCGCAGTAACTGCTTAAGCAATGTAAGCTGGAGTGAGTTTTTCTCTTACTTATTGTGTACCTTCCATGGAAACAAAAGGCCTGTTCTATTGTGCCTGCCACTACACCCCTCATGAGACTGTCTGCAAAGGTGTTTTAAATATAAAGTTAAGAAAAAAGATAGTTAGCTTCAGCTTCTGGGAGGCGCAAGGGACGCAACTATGCCTCACTGTTGCCTCCAAGGAAAGCTGAGCATTGGAATTGCGACCAGAATGCATTACAGCAATGAAATGGAGTGCATTTCATACAGGATTTTTAGTCCCATTCTCCAAAAGGCATCACCTGCATTTCCCAGAAGTGTTGGAAGATGGGGCCATGGTAAGCATTTTTTTCCCCCCTACCTGCTTTATTTTTCAAACTCCTCTGTAGGAGATTTGATGTTGAGGAATGAGGGGGGGCTTTTAATAGAGCGGACCTTCCATTTTCATGGAGGCATGGTTTCCAGCAGAGATGAACAGAGGTGCGTTAAGTCCTCTCTTACAAATGTCCTATGTTATACAGCCATAGCCCTAATATTCTGCAAATCCATTGTCACTGAGTACTTGCCCATTATTATCTCTGACATTTTGGGAAGTGATGTCTCCACTGAAAAGAGTGTCAGATGTTGTAGACAATCTGGAGAGATTTTGCAGACTGCATAAAGATGCCGGCACTCTGCTGCATATGTAAACAGACTACCTGGCTGCTCCGCCATTACCTCCTAACCCTGAAACTGCTTAAGTCCTGGAGGCAATAGCTGTTTATCAACCCTCAATGACCTCCAAAATCTATGAGGCAAAGATCCAAATCACTCTGCTTGGAAAGTATTTACAAAAGCTCAGGTACAGAGTCCAACATGGGAAGGTTGGAGGATGACACAAGGCCTATTCTCCAGAATCTCCTTGACATAAATAGAAGCTATGCAACCAAGGCAGGCAAGAAAACCGCCTTCGTCAGAGTAATATCAACCTGGTGGGCACCTGAGAGTGCCGAGGTTACAAATCCAATCCTAGAGAATCCCCTGCTTGACTTTGGACTGAGATAGCTTTTCTGCAGCCTTTGCTGAGCAGGCCTCCTCTGGGCGCTCTACCCTGTACCTTTTTTTTTTTATAGCAAACCACCTGAACTATCAAGAAGGAGACATGGTCCTCAAGCTGAAGAGAGAAAGGTAACTTTTTCCATTACAGAATGAAGGACTTTTTCCTGGAGGTTTAGATTTACTCTTATATTTACTGGCATTGAACAGTTTTTTAAAACTCCCTCATGATGCACAACACCTTGGTTCTGATACTGCTTATGCGGATTCCATCCCACATGCAGAATGCACCTCTAACCTAATCTTTACTTTTGTGCTGATCTTCGACCAGGTCTCATGTGAAGGGGCAGCTCTTGATGCAATTCTAAAGGGCGGAAACTCCACATGGTCTTATTTTTTTTTTATTTGCCTAGGATCCCCCCTTAAAATCCATACCAGACCCCTGTCTAGGATAAGTGTTTGGTGTTGATATTGATGGAACCACACCAAGTGGTTTTTCTACATTTAAATTTTTACATTTTAGACTGGGGTTCCTTGAGATTTTGCACCCTCTTTCAATTTTTGCACAAATAGCCCATCATGCACAGACCAATGTAGATTTCGATAATCGTTTGCCAGCAATACTAACTGGCTAAATGTAATCGATCGACAGAACAGATTTTCGTTTGTGCAGTGTTTATATATATCTATCTATCTATATATATATTGTGGCATTGTGAGGCAATACCACGGTGTTAGGTGGCCTCAAAGTCACCCAGGGTTCTCAGCCAGAGGGGCTGAGTGGCTCCAGGAAGACAGTACGTGTACCAGGAGAGAACTGCCTTTTCAGTTCTTTCCAGGTTTTCTGGATCATAGTTGGGATCCTGGAGCCAGGAGATTTCTTAGAGCTCTGGGTGGGATGAAATCTCCATTCCTGGGTCCATGCTTTGGTAGTGACCAGCACCTGATTGTGCACCTGTGTACATCCCTCATGAAGAGTGTGCTGGGATGTGTTCAGGGCCCCACCTGTGAGTCAGGAGAGCTCCACCCTGGAGTCAGTGTGGAGGCCAGTGCAGCAGGGAGCTGCGGGTTTGCGAACCATATTGAGAGGATTGGCATGTTATTGCCGTTGTCTGGAGGAACCAGACAGTGGCCCTAAAGATTGAGGCCGGAGCAGCAGTGCTGCAAGAGAGACAGATGTCGGTGAGCCCTTATCTGTTATATGCTACAGCAAGCTATTTATGTTGGATTTCATGTTATCTACCGTTTTGAAAGCAAATAAACTGCATCTGACTTGCACCTCCGGTCTACAGTGGAGTGTCCTTGTTACAATATATATATACATTTTATTTTTTTT